GTATGCTCCTTGAGACATAAAAGTTAGCTAAATCACTGGTGAATTTTTCACCCTGAATGGAACAGGGTTAAGTTGCACTGCCTTTGCTACATTTATTTCTCTATAGAAGCACACAAATGAAAATTTAATTGCAAAAGTTTATATCATTATCATTTTATATTGATACAATTGCTTTGTCTTTCGGTACCCAAAGACAGTTGCGTCAAGACTGGGCAGGTTCTCAGCATAGTTGTATTGATGTTATTAATTTTGAACGTTTCTTCTGTCCAGGTGCTAGAACACATTCTAGATTAAAATCCTTGCGTTAGTTTTCATTTAAGAGTTGTAGAATTTCTAATTTATGCATAATATCTTTTATTGGACCAACTGTTTGGTTGGGCTGGACCAGTGATGCTCAGTCTTTTGGCCCAGTGGGCTCATATGTGGTCTGGATCAGCCATCCACAGGCCGTATCAGGCTGTGGGGCCTGGCACCACCCCATCCCTACCTCACACATCAGAATTGTGTCCTTGTGGGGTTGGCTTTGCCCTCTCCTACACTCTGTGTCCTGGGATTAGGTCCTGGCAAGCCAGCACTGCCCCTCCCCCCCACACTGGGATTAAGTCCTGAGGGCCCAGCAACACCCATGCCCCCCACACTGAGATTGGACCCTAAGATCCAACACAATCCCCTCCCAGCTCTACATGCTGGAATTTGGCACCAGCTCCAATGCAGGGGGCCTGGGGCTTCCCATAGATCTGGAAATTTGGCATTGAGAGAGCAGTACAACTGAACTCCCACTGCCAAATTTCCAGATCTGTCAAATGACATGGTTGGATGACAATACCAGCACCATATCTGCCCCTGGGCTATACTGAGACTAAAAGAATATACAGGCAGTTCTCAGCCTTACAACACAATTGGTTCCTGAAAGCTGCGTCTTTAAGTCGAAATGTTGTAACTCGGAACCAATTTTCTCATAAGAAACAATGTTATAAATGAGGGATTGGTTCCTGAACCAAGGCCCAATACCCTATTTTCACCAAAAATACCCCAGTATTTTGTACTCGATCAATTATAGATGAATAATACAGCTACATTAATGTATTTATATTGTAAATAGCAATCATATTGATTTGGAAGGGCTTCTTTGAGGTGATTTTGCTGGACTTTTTGAAATGCTCTTGGTGGGACTTCTTGAAGGGGTCTTGGCTGGAGTCTTCTCAGGAGTGTTGGCTGCAGGCTTTTCTGGAGTCTTGTCTGCTTTCTTAAATAAAGTGTCCCAGGATGTTTGGACAGATGTTCTCCAGGGAGATAAGCGATGCAGCGATCTTGTTCGCTGGCATGGCATTGCATTGGATCAAGCATTGTAGTCAAAACTGGTGTTGTAAAATTGAAACAGGTGTCAAATTATAAACATTGTAAGTGCAAAATGTTGTAACTTGAAACTTTGTAAGTCGAGGATTGCCTGTAGTATGTTCTTCTTCAGGTCTGATGAAGAAGCAAATATCACTCACAAAATCCTTGCTTTTCACATATATTAGGCCATCACAGCTACAACATCCCTGCAACACTACCATGATTCATGCATCTTTCTTCTGGGTTTCTACTATGGCAGTCACTAGTCTACCTAGATACAAATGCTGTGTTTCATAGTTTCATAGTTTCTAGGGTTGGAAGGGACC